TTTGCTTCATACAGATAATCTTGAGTTTACTGTAAATATGTACAAGTTTACTATAATGTGGCACATGCACACACAAAAAAGCATTAGCTAGCCACCTGGAGCATAAGGCAGCTGCACAATTCATGTATTTGTGGCACAACACACATGTTATAACAAAGAGCTGAGTGTTCCAAATACTGAAGTAAGTGCCTCATATTTTTAGCCATTCCCTTGTATCAGCTCTCAAGAACACAATTCACACAGTGACGCTACCAACCTGGACACTTCATGAATGCTTTTAATACTTCAAGATCTCAAATAAAAAGGCTTTGCTGTCGATATTTTAAAAGCTACCCTTTGCAGTACAGCATAGAAATCCTAATTCTACTAAAAGCACCGGAAATTCTGCTTTTGGGACTTAAAATGGAAGAAGTCAATACGACTAAAAAGACTTTACTCTGGTACCTGATAGTGACAGCGAGAATGATTTATGCTCAGTTTTGGAAGACAGAAAAGGTACCAGAGGTTGAAGAATGGATACAAAAAGTTCTGTTCATGGCACAAATGGATAAGATTACAAAAAAACTGAATAACAAAGAAGACGATGAGTTTTTTGGAGAATGGAATGACTTTAAAATTTATCTGGAAAAGAACTGGGATGTGAAACAAAACTTAATATGTTTAGATCAATATTAAGTCAAACGATGTTATCTTTAGATTGTAATGATGAAAAACTGATATTGTTGATGATATGAAGTAATTTGGAGCAGGGGTGGAAGCATTGTGGGAAGCCATTGGAGGGAGGGGAGGAACTGGGAATGGGGTAGACAATTGATAGAATGAAAAGTTTTATATGTTGTATTCCTGAGAAAATAAAAAATTTGTTTACCAAAAAAAGAAATCCTAATTCTACTGAAATGCATGACAAAGTTCTTGTGGGCAGAGAATGGGTTATTTACCATGAGGGTTCCTTCAATCTGAAACTTGCCCTATTGTGGGGCATATTTATACCTTTATTGGTGCAAATTGTGACTGCAAAATGATTTTTTGTAGTGTTTGTTTCGTAGTGTGTGGTACTTCGAGTGTTGGACTGGGTTCTGATCTGAGGGACCTAGTTCGAATGTTCACTCTGCCATGGAAGCTTGCAGGCACATGCTCTCAGCCTACTTTGCAGCGTTGTTGTGAGGTAAAATGAAGGAGAGGAGAATGTTGTAAGACGGTTTGGGGGAAAATGTGGGATATTAATGAACAAATAAATATTTTGATGTTCGATTATTTTACATGTTCTGTTACAAGGTTCAGGTTCAACATATCTGTTCTCCTACTGTTGTATGCATAGTTGTTTTTTCTTTCATGTTTGGCTATAGAAGTTTCTGAACTATGGATGGGGGTTCTATCCTTGGAGGAGACAGTCTATTTATTTTATTTGGACATTTATACCCTGCTTTTCTCTCCAGTTGGAGACCCAAAGCAGCTTATAACACTGCTCCCTCTTTCTCCAGTGTTTCCTCACAACAACAACCCTGTGAGGTATGTTAGACTGAGAGTAAGTGACAGGCTCAAGGTCACGCAGTGAGCTTAGATGGCAGAGTGGGAATTCAAACTTGGTCTCCCAGACTGTAGTCTGATGCTCTAACTGGCTCTTTTATCACTGTGACCAAGTTCTCACCTTCAGATCCAGATTAGAAGGTCCTTAAGCAAATCTGATCTCCCATTACCATAATAATTCTATAGGCCAGCACAAGGCCTAAGAAACTTCTTGAACACAGTTACACATATGTAAGCCCCATTGATTTCTATCGACCATAAAGTCAAAAGAAAAAGAAAAAAGTCAGGGCCATAAACCTCCTTAACGTTTTTGCAACTTCATATGCAGAAGTTTATATATTTCCAACTATCTTAATTTACCAGGACGGCGCTCTCCTTATTTTGTCCCTGTTGGTCACATAGGGCTGCCAACCTCCAGGTGGGACCTTGAGATCTCTCACATTTCATTGCCAGTCAAGAGAGATCAGTTCCCCTGGAAAAAATTGCCTGCTTCAGAGGTGGACTCCATGGCATTGTACCCTACTGAGGTCCCTCCCCTCCCCTCCCCAAACCCCACCCTCCCTAGGCTCCACCCCCAAAATCTCTTTTGTCGTCTTTTGCATGGCAAATAAGTAGAACAAAGACTGGTTTGGTATTGGCCAGGATGGTATTTTTCTCTCTAACTCCAGTTGTTCTGCTAGTCAGTAAGCTATTCAAGTTTGCATATATTTCAATTAGTTAACGTTTTAAACAAAGAATGTCCTTTTCTCCTTCATAAAAGGTGGCAACCCTTGCTAACAAATATCCATTTATCTATACATCTGTGGTCTTAAGAAGCAGTTGGACTATTCAACTAATTTTAAGAATAATAAAAATTTCTCAGTGTGCAGTCTCCAATGGAGGCAAAATATTCCACAGAGGCTATTTTAGTATAAAAGTCACACAACACCATATGGCCAAATTTCATGGATATAGATGAGCAAATCCCTTATTCATCAAAGCGTTTCTACTGTAAACCAGCAGAGGATCCAATCAGGTCCCTGTACTGCAAGCACACAAATTAACTTTCCACACCTGAGCAGTCCCACAACAGCAAAGATGCAAAGATCTCTTGCAGGATTGTAGCCTCCGGCTGGAACAGCACAGAAGAAGAAGCTTGCAGTCTGTCAACAGAATTTTTTTTTTTTCCTTGGGACAGGGGAAATCAAAAGACAAGGAGTTTCACAATACTTTTATTGAATTAATTCTTTTTTCCATAACCCAGTTCTTCCAAGTTACTTGCAGAGCAGTTTCAAACCTCAACAATAATAAGCAAATTTTATTTTTCCTCTCACTCAGACTACATTTGCATAATCGAGAACTGCATGCCATGACCTAAAATAGAAAGTGAATTTATGTTCCCGGCAGTGGACAATTATGAAAAGGAGCTATAAAACTATATTGACATATTTGTTTTCCTTGCATTCAAGCTGTGAAGAATATTGACTATGTCTCTTTGCCCCTAATTTTGAGTGGTATTGTGGATGAATCTGAGCAATTATTTTGAAATGCCAAGCTTTACCACTATGAAAGCATAATGCAGCAAAAGTAATAAAGAGGGATGATGAAAAATCTTTACCATTTCTGCCATCTCTGGACTCAGGTGTTAAGTACCCCCTGCATACAATGGAGCTATCTAATGCCACAGTATAGAATGCTGCAATTAAAGTAGCAAACACAATTCATCAATTAATGATACACTTTATTGTCCAGCACTTATCTATTCTAGTAAGTAAAAGATACTAACCAAGCGGTTATATCCCCTACTGCACCTGGCCTGATACTATCAACATGTAAAGTGCATAAAAACATCTGGAGCATAATGGAAAGAGAGTCTACATCTGCACAAAATGGAGCATTCTATGCATCTCAGCTCCAATCCAATAGAACACATACGGAGCAGCCTTTAAAGGAAGCTGGAACCCTGCATTCAGGTGTTTGGCAGGGAAAGTGGAGCAGAAAAGACTAAATCTAGCTCCCTACTGAACAGCTGATCAGAAAATTACAGCTAATATCAAAATTATAGTTTTTATAAGGAGCTCCATATGCAACAGTCAAAGCTTTTGGATCAGGACAGAGAAGCACACACACCTTCCCATTTGGGTCTATAACTCCCCACCCACCCAGCCTGCTTTCAAACACGAACAATCACAAGCTAGATTGAAGCAGCACAGAGAAATAATAAAAATAAAATCTTCAACAGAAAATATATTAAATAAAATAATCCTAATAGAAAAGGTTTCATTCAAATACGAATAGCATCAATATATCTAATTCTCAACATGACCCAGTCTGTGGATATTTAAATCCAAAGGCTGGGGCCAGAAAATATCTTTCTACAACCCTGTAAGAAGCCCCAGGTTTTCCAGAAAAAATCTAAAGGCCAGTGTGGTGTAGTGATTGAATTTCAGACTAGGATCTGAGAAACTCAGGAGGGCAATCTGAAGACGTGGGTGGGCAGATAAAGGTAGGAGTGATGGTGGGTGGAAAGAACCAGGAAAACAGGAGGGGCTACAGGGGTTTTCAGGGAAGGGAAAGAAGAATAGTGGGGGATGAAAAAATATGGTGCCCCCAAATCACTGCAGGTCCCCTGCTTGTTAAATCTTTAAAAGGAAGACGTCTGCACAATCTCATCTTGTATAGGTAATGACTATAGTTAAACTTTCATTTTCTAAAATAATTTTTCTGAAAAAAGAATTTTCTACAGGCAAAACTGCATACCTATAGGGCAGCTGTGACATTAAGCATTTTTTTACCAACTTGGATTGTCTCCAATGCTCCCTCTAAGCAAAAAGTCTACTTTGTGAGCTACTGGCATTAAAGTTGTGAGTGAACGATTTGGCTGCTGCATAAATTAGTTTACTCTGGAGCCATCCTTCTCAACTCTCCTCCAGACAAATCTGCCTTAAGTATATGAAAAGTATACACCAGTTATTGAGGGTGGTTTAGCACCGCAGCCTTTTTTTCTTCTTACACTGCTGAGTCATCCTTTTTTGTATTCAACTGCATGAGGAATTACAACACTTAAGTGGATACTGTGCTGCTGAAATCATTCACCTTGGCCATGCCAAACTGGTTACTTTCTAGAGGATCAGTTTTCACTTCCTACAGCACAGAAGGTTGAGCCAATCTTAACCTTCCACTCTTCTACACATCAATATCGACAGTGAAAAGAGTTGCATTGTGATGTTTCCTGTCACAGAATAATACACCATGCTACCCTATAGACAAATTAATTTACAAAGCTCTAATTCACTGATGATGAACATAAATATTCTGCATTGGGATACAATGAGTGCCAACTAAAAATAAAGCAACTATTTGTCCATATCCAAGGAAGCAAGGAGAATCTGCAAGCCTGTTATTTATAGGATTTTCCCATTCAGTCCGTAGAAGATATGTACATTGGAATTCTGTCTTCCCTTCAGCTTTGGAACAGTTCTCTGACGATTTATTCAATGAGGAGGAGGAGTTCTGGTGCTACAGGACAACAGGCACAGAGTTCACAGCTCAATCTCTGGTATACATTTCTATACTGTCAATGAAACACATCAAACCTCTTTGAAAATGTACCTCAAATTATATTCAACAACCAAGGAAGCAATTTCTAACAGAAGGCAAGTTACAAATAACTACTGTGACTATGGGCTTTTCCACAAGCTCAACTTATTCCTGATTTTCTTGGTAATTGATCCACAAACTTTGGAATTGGTTTGGGTATGGTTCTTCCATACATCTGCCCTCCCTCTGCATTTAAACAGTTGTGGAGTCAGTTTGTTTTGCCCCACATGTGTCTTAAATAATCGGGATGTTCAAGGGAGGGTGGTGTTATCATTGGTGGTGTCACAGCACCACACCCCCTTTTTATATCAGTATAAGAGCATTTTTATATCAATATAAGAGCATAACGATAGGTTTGGCAGTTTTTATGAATTCCCAGCTTTCATTTTTAAAAAGTCTCTAGCCCCTTCCCTGGGGACATACGGCTTTTTTCTCATACCTTCATGAGGGAACAGTCTGGAGACTTACTTTTTAAAATGAAAGCTGGAAATTCAGAGAGCCTGCTAAACCTATCATCACAATGCTATATCAATATATTGCTATTTTAGTTCCTTTTTAAAAAAAAAGTGAAAAGAAACCCACTTGTCTTCAGGGTAGGAGGGAGAAAGGGTGGCTTGATGTTGATGACAGTCCAATCATCGAAAAGTGGGCTGGAGGTGGGTGGGATTGGGTAGAACAAAGAAAACCCAACAGAAATACTAGGCACACAGGAAAAGGGGGCTCAAAATCAGCTTCCAGAAAAAAGAATAAATTGAAGCAATATGGAGCCAGAAACAAATTGGGGGGGGGGGGAACTCATGCAGAAAAGCCCTACACTTTTAAAAAATGTTACATCAATTGTGAAAGAAATGATAAGCCGCCCTGAGCCCGCTTGCGGGGAGGGCGGGTTATAAATATAATAAATAAATAAATAGAAAGGGGGGGGGACACCAATGTCTTGCAAACTTCATTCAGAACTTTTTCCAAAAAGCACATAAAGTAGAACAAAATCCAAAGCAAATGTTCGAAGTGGCAGGCACGAGGCAAGTACTTACAGCTGAAGATGCTTGGAGGCGGATGCTCTGTTACAAGTAGGCAGTTCTCTTCGTCACTGTTGTCCCCACAATCGTTTTGTTGGTTACAGACCAGTGAGCCAAGATACAAGCATTTGCCACTGGTGCAGGTGAATTTGCACTCTGAAAAGCACAACAAAAGAAAAGCACACGTGAGTAGATAACCGTTTTCTGTCTCACTGAATATCAGTCCGGCAGGAGCAGGTGTCAAAAACAAACACACTTGAATTCAGTTGCATTTGTTGCTCATGATGGTAAAGGTTTCTTTAAGATTATTTGAACCCTGAAACACATAGGGCATAGAGGAGCCACTCTGATAGTGGCTTCAGCACAGCGTAATGACCTCATCCGCAGGAGTCAAGCAGAACCCTTTTGCTTCAGTGGCAACCCCACTGGTAAGCTTGGAGCCATCCCAGCTGCATTCATGCTGGCTTGGGGTTCCAAGGCAAGGTCGCATGCCTCTCTGCTTGGCCTGCAGCTCCAGGGATGCTGCCCCAATGACAGGGATTGGCATTTGCATGTAAGGGGGTACAAACGATCCTTGACTGAGACCGGCTGGCAGCCAGCACCGTTGCCATATTCACACCTCCCCATGCATAATGACCTCATCCGCAGCAGTCAAGCAGAACCCCTTTGCTTCAGTGGCAACCCCACTGGTAAGGTTGGAGCCATCCCAGCTGCATTCATGCTGGCTTGGGGTTCCAAGGCAAGGTCGCATGCCTCTCTGCTTGGCCTGCAGCTCCAGGGATGCTGCCCCAATGACAGGGATTGGCATTTGCATGTAAGGGGGTACAAACGATCCTTGACTGAGACTAGCTGGCAGCCAGCACCGTTGCCATATTCACACCTCCCCATGCTGCAGCTGTGCTTTGGCCCATGCGGGGGCATTCTTCAGTAGTTTCTTTCACATTGGGGGCTTAGTCCTGCCACCAAGCACATGACTCAACGGCCAAGCCTCCCTCCCCCATGGATCAGCCAGTGGCCTTTTGCATGCAGTGCTCGCTCCCAAATCAGATGATCCAGCAACCTTCAGCCTGGGGCGGCTGCCACCACATGGTGTGGTGTAGCTTGCCGATTACTTCTGTCTTGATTGAACCCCCAGCATTGCCCCTTAATGGATCACCTGGCAGCCTTGGCCACAGGCAGCCACTGCCACATGGGCATCTCTGGCTTATTGGACTTTGCTTGGCCTGGGTCTAGGGTTGCCAGGTCCCCTCATCTTGCCAGCGGGAGGATCTAGGAGGATCTGGAAGTCGGCGGGGATGCCCCAATGTGCTGACAACACCCAGAAGTGATGTCATCACATCAATTATGTCAGGGGGTTTTGGGGTGTAAATCTATGGTAAAATTGGGGTCAAACCATAGAGTTTTGCCCCAAACCCAGAGAGTTGTGGTGTGATGTCCCCAAAGTGGTGACGTCACTTTCGGGTGGCATCATCACATCAGGACATTGCATGGGGATGTTGCTGTTTGTGGGTGGGGTTCCCCCCACCAGCCAGCTGGCCAGTAGCAAGCAGAAGCCCCCAAAACTGGGGGATTCCCCACCGGGACCTGGGGAATGGCAACCCTACCTGGGTCCTGCTGTGCACCTGGCCTTGTGCCTGTGTCACTGGCCCCCTTTCCCGCAGGAAAGGGGGTTAGTTCAGCTTGTCTTCGCAGTCCCCTTCCATGGTGGCTCGAGGGCAGGGAGAAGCTCACAACACCCAGCCGCTTCACATTTTTACTCTGGGGGCCAGGCTCACAGCTTTGGTAGCAGAAGCGGGCACAGAAAAGAGGTTTGCCCCCTGTATGCAGTGCAGGAGTGTATGCCCAGCGCTGCAGCACTGGCTCTCCAGTCTGCCCATGCTGTTTTTCCTCTGCACACCCCCCCAACCCATGGGGCCTTGCAGTGAGGACACACCAACTCAGAGCTTACCAGCTCATGATGGTAAAGGTCATAAATTTTATATCCCCTGTACCTGGCATTACGTTTTATGGCATACATGGCCCAGCCTGACACATTTATGTCAGATCCGGCTCTTGTACTCAACAGTATTTTTAAACTCGACCTAAAGCATCTGAGGATGGAGGGAGGCCTCCAAACCAACCACTCACAGCTGAATGATCCCAAGGTCCATGGAGAGAGTAATCCTTTGGTCCTGCATGCATCATCACTTGAAATTCTGCACTGTCTGGGGGATGGGGATGGGGTTCATGGGCAACATCTGTCTGCACAAGTTTGGCACAGGTAATGAAATGCACAATGTAGCCTGGAGCCATATTCAGCTGTGAGTAGGGCAGCCAAGAGCCGTCATTGGCCCCCCAACAAAGATTCCACCTCCTACCCATATGACCCTGATCTAAACTATGTGCCTAATTTTGAAATTTTATATTTGTACAGATACATGTATGTACCAATATAAGACACACTTCTTATATCTGATGAAGTTGGCAGTAATTCACAAAACTTCGTATCACTTCAGTAAGTAAATCATAAAGGCACCTGTTTAAGTTTACCCCTGTACCTTTACCTAGAACAAAAAGAAGGGGCAAATTGATTACTTGGTGGTGCTGGGATCATTGGGACAAATTTTTCTGACATCTTCTAAAAAGATTGTCATTTGCCATGTAACATGAAGCATAATGTCTACAGTAGCAGAGTAGCATTTACAAAAGGATATTAGATGTCCCGCCAACATAACAACAACAACCCACTGCCTGAACAGTGTTTAAAATTATTTTTAAAATGTTTAAGAGTTCATGAGCTTTCAGTATACAGATTGAAAACTTCATTTCCCTCTTGAGTTTTGGCACCTTTTTTTTTTTTAAGAGAGCCCTGAGGTATATCTTGCTTTTCTCCCAATCCGCATGATTTATGGGAGTAACAATATTGCAGCCTCTATATTAACTGCATGTAACTAGAACAGGCAAAAACAATTGTGATTTTTCTTCTGTATTTAAATGTAAGAATACATTGACTGTACATACAAAAATAAAAACTCAACAGTATTTTTAAACTCACTGCTTTTAAACTGAACTGTTTATTATGCTTGATGCTAGAAATTCTCTAACAGAAATTTTACTTGAAGCTCACCCTGGGCAACAGCTCTCCGTTTCCACGCCTGCTTGGACAGTTGCCAGCTCTGGACAAGACATAATAACCATTAGCTACTGTCCCTGCATTTCAAAAGGCTTTAATGCTGAAAAATGTTTCAGCTTTGATACTGCAATCTGCAAGAATCTATCCAGACCCATACAATTATTCCTCTGCCCACCTTTCTTAACTGCCAGATGGAGATTAACAAACTGGAGGACTGCCACAGCTGAATACTCACTGTTTCACCCAATGTGCTCAATTCCCAAATGTCAGTATTGCCAAGCTGCTTGAATATATTTCCAGAGCTTCCTTAGTTTGCCTGGCATGAAAACCTGGCCCAACTGGTTCTAGATTTTTGTTGTTGTTTCCTATTATTACACCAGATTAAAGCAAAGGGTTTACTTTCCCTAAAAGAGTTTGCTCTTCCATTGCAAAGGCTCCGACACCTTTGCTGAGCATTCCAAGGAGCAATACCGTGCCCCAAGGTCATAATCCTGCACGTGGCTACATGGGACACTTAACTGTAGGCACTCTTTCGGCTGTGGTGTGTAATAAATTCTTTTCCTGTAGAGATCTGCACACCAGCCACCTGATCAACGGTGCCTGGGCCTTTAAAAGACAGGCCACCAGTGACAGCTGGCCCTTTGACAGGAGAGTGATGGTGGAAGATAAAGGGGCAGATATTGTTCGGAAGGCGCAATAGGTCCCTGGCTAGGAGCCCTTAAAGGGCTTGAAGGAGGAGGCAGGGGAGGATAGACCAGCTCCTTCTTCCAGCAAACCATCTGAAAACTAGTTGGCCAATGGGTTAATCACCCTCCTCCATGCTGCAGCCCCAATCTGAATCTGGCTTTCCCAGTGGTTATAAACCAATGGAAAATGCTTGGTAGATCCATGCACAGATCTCCCATAAGTTTTGAGTTCTTAAAACACTATATTGGGTCAATTACTGCTATCTTCCACGTACACTGCTGAATATGCATGTCAGCTAAACTCACACAAAAAACTGAAGACTTCTGTGAGGGGCATTTACTATTTAGGTGTTGAACATTTATTTAGTCATTTGATTTTTTTTGTCCTGCCCTTCCTCCTAGAATCTCAGCACAGTGAACATGGTTCCTTCTTCCAAGTTTATTTTGAAGTAGGTTAGGTTAAGAGACAGCAACTAGCCAAGGTGACCCCAATAAGCTCCACAGCACAGTGAAGATTTGGGCCCTAGGCTGTTTCCACACAGAGGTTTTGCTCCACCTGGCATTTCTTACTGCATCACCGTTTTCAGGATAGTGTTGTTACGGGGTGGAATTTCTGAAATTCACTTTTTAAAGATTCCTGTTATTCTGTTTTTCTCTCTCAAAAGAATATTTAATTTCCCTTTGATTTCTCCCTGTAATTTTCTGTTACACCTCTATGCGTCCTTTTGTAACTTCAGCTCTTTCAGGGCGGTTTTGTGGTTTTTGTAATGTTACACCCCACAGCTGGAAGAACTGCCTACCTCTGAACCTCCCTTCCTGTCCCTCTTGTCAAATTTGAAACAGACTCCAAATTCCTAAAAACAGGATAAGAAAAGGGGTGGTTGGATTTCAAGGAGAAATTAGATAAAAGAGAAATTAAGAGCATTAAGCAATAAGTGATGCTCTGTCATCTTGGTGCTTGGGGGGGGTCAACAGTGGGAGGGCTTCTAATGTCCTGGCCCCACTGGTGGACCTCCTGATGGCACTGGTATTTCTGGCCACTGTGGGATACAGAGTGTTGGACTGAATGGGACTTTGGCCTGATCCAACATTGGCGTCTCTTATGTTCTTATGTTCTTAAGAGAATTCCTCTTAACCGTGCTACTTCAGGAGTATCCACACGAAGTTGCCCTCCTTTGGCGTGCCTTCATGTTTTCCCTTCTCCTTGTTCCATGGCTTCAGAGTCATCCCCTTTCACTGGCACTGCTGGCAGGGAGATTGCAGTGCAAGGCCAATCTTTCCAGGGTGTTCGCTAGGGGCTGAAAATCTGAGTGACCACATCCTTTTTATTCTGGCTGCAAGCCCGAACCGGGGGGGGG